ATGAGGTAGTTAAGAAAACCATTGTTAACTAGTGTCTTTGCGTTGTGGAGTTCTTTAAGGAAAAGTATGCAAGAGGATGAATTCTCGTGTGTACGCTTTAAGATTTTTATCACTGCTATTTCGTGTCTTAGTGGTCATTTACTCTTAAAATTAAGGTGCAAGAGTTTCTGATAGTGGGTTTTTTATACAATGATGTGCCGAACGTGTTGTTATTGTATTCTACGAGAACGCCTAATAATAAAAGCTTATTTTTTTTGACTAAGTTCGTAAGTAAAATTAAGGACAGAGATTTTTTTTTAATTTTTAATTTTGAGAGTATCTATTTCTTTTAATTTTTTCGCTGATATAAAAATATCGTCTACATACAGGACATATATTTTAGGCTTACGGGCCTGTTTAAATATCATATTTTCTACATGGGACATGTAGTAACAGGAAAAACATGGGCCGAACGGATTTCCTTTACTAACTCCATTAGTTTGGTTGTAGATATTGCCATTATGTTCGTAGAAAGAGACTTTTGTTGTATTTGCATGTAATAATTTTTTGATTTGATCTATGGAGATGGAATAGAATTAGTTGTGTACCCGGAGTTGAGGATAATGTCAATGGTTTGATCGATGGGGACGTTTGTGAATAAATTTTCAACGTCGATTGGCGCTAAGATACCTTGGGTTGGTTTTATACATTTTAGAATTTGGAAGAATTCGTGGGTAGATGTGATGCTTTATTTGGTGGGTAATGACGTCATTAATGAATTGTGATCAGCGAAATGATTGGTCGTAACGGGTATCCGGTTATGTGTGTTTTTATATTTCCGTATAAGTATCCAAGTTGGTAGTCTCCGATGATTTTGGGGATTTTCAGGGAAGCAACGTCGGCGTTGTTCGAAGTTATGCGTTTGTTGAAGGACCTTTTTAGGGTCTCCGTGGTGTTTTCTGTTTGTGTTGTTGAATTTAGTTCGGTCATCGATGATGTCTTGTAATTTTTATGGCAATCAGCTTTATTCCAAATTGCATATGTGTTTGGCTTTGTCGGCTCACACACGGCTTAAACACGCACAGACCTAAGAAACTCCACCCGAAACATTCTATTGGAAAATAAAAGCATATTAAAAAGTGACTAAAAATAAAGTAAGCCTTAATAATAAATAAAAGGTCAACGCGCAATAATATTAACTACGAACACGGCCACAGTATGCTGACCGTCTTCGTAAAATAAATCATCCCTATAACACTAGTAACATAAACACAACCCATACATGCAGTTTAAAAGTAAAAATAAAACCATTCTTGATAATGGCTAAAAGTATAGCCGAAAGCGCTCGGAGTTATAGAAAATTTGGACAGTTACTATACACTCTATCTAAAAAAAACAAACAAAACAAAACAAAAACACATGTTCAAACACAAGAAAAATAAAATAAAAAGCCTAATCGCAGTACCTTGTCTGTCGTCTTTAATGAAATATGCATAAAATAGGGACTGCTGCCTAAAGACACTATATACATATATATATATATATATATAAAATAATAATAATAATAATAATAATAAAGTAATTCATCGAGTCCAAAAGAAAACTGAACAGAATTCACTGGACGGCCGTTTCGTCCTATATTTGGGTCTCATCAGCAGGGCGCATCCACTGCCCAGAGTTGAAACCCGAACAGTTACGATATGATGCAAGCGCCATACTAACTGTACCAACGGACCTCGGTGACAAAGAGGTGGCGAATCCAACTTGATATAGCGTCGATCGATCACATATTCCGTTGTGGAACTCATCCTAGTTTCTCTTTTGCAAATAGGACTGTGCCCCCAGGAGCCACGACTTACTATCCCCAAGCCGCTCCATCCAGAGCATTAGAAACCGGTTTAAGCAAGGATGTACAAGTGATAGAAATTAGGAGGATTTGAAATAATCATAGTTAAGTAATTCATCGAGTATAGAAGAAACCGCAACAGAATGCAGAAAGCACTAAACAGCCTTTTCGTCCTATATTTGGAACTCATCAGCAGTGCGCATCCACGACCGAGAATTGAAACCCTGACAGTTACGTTATAAGGCAAATGCCATACCAACGGAAGAGGTAACGAATCCAACTCGATATAGCGCTGATTGATCACATGTTCCGTTGTGGAACTCTTTCTAGTTTATTCTTTTACCCATAGGACTGTGCCCCCACGAGTCACGGCTACTATCCCCAGGACGTTCCATCCAGTCCATTAGAAGCCGGTTCAAGCAAGGATATACAAGTGATAGAAATTAGGAGGATTTGAGATAATTATAAATAAGTAATTCATCGAGTCTAGAACAGAGTCAACAGAATGCGGAAAGCACTAAACGGCTGTTTCGTCCTATATTTAGGACTCATCAGCAGCGCGCATCCACTACCGAGAATTGAAACCCGGACAATTACGATATGAGGTAAACGACATAACAACTGCACCACGGTGACGAAGATGTAACGAATTAGACTTGATATAGCCACCACGGAATATGTGATCGAGCGGCGCTATATCAAGTCTACTTAAGGAGACACGGTAGAGTAATGGATAACGGCTCGGATTGAGGATTCGGAGTGCCTAGTTCGAATCCCAGTCGAATCCATTACATTCACTTACGTGCTAATACCCTTGGGAAAGGTATGAATCCTCCTCTTCTCCTCCCAGCTATGGGTAAATAGCAGGATAGAGCAGGTTCTATAGCCTTGGATGGGAACTGCCAACATACTGCGTGGAAAATTTGCCTCGTCAGTCATGTATCGAAAGATATATGATCGCCTAAGCGCGTATCACGCATGGCACGTAACTGCTGGTAATAATTTTCCGCCAAAAGTATCGCTGGTATTAAACCCTATTTTTACACTTTGATAGTGTTTTGACCCCCTCTGGGGTGTTAAATCTTTGTCCATGATCAGAACCCTAACAGGTGCTCCCACACCGAGTCAGCATGGACCCGGGAACACTCCCAATTTATTAATTTCCACGCTCCTCAAAAATTCCTGATCAGAGACCTTGTTTTCGGATGTAGTTTATTTTCTTACATACTGTCCTTGGTATGACGACAAACTACATCCGCATCCCAAGTAAGAAGATAAACTACATCCGCGTCCTGGGTTAGGCGATAAACTACATCCGCGTCCTGGGTAAGGCGATAAACTACGTCCAACAGCAAGGCCTCTGATCAAGAGGCTTTGAGGAGCGTGGAATCACCTCTTAATTGCTGGGGTTCCCAGGTCCCTCCTGACCCGGGGTAGTAGCACTTCTTAGGGGCCCAGCTATGGGCAAATAGTTGACACCCAAACTTGTGTTGAAATAGGTTTTGATACCAGAAATACCTTGCAATTAAAAATAAATATTACCAGCAATAATTTTTGAAGGAAAAATTATTATCATAAATATTTTTTTAAAAAGTACTAGCAATACAAACAGTTATATATTCTTTGAAAAAAAAAAATTACCAGCTATAGATTTCTTCAAGGAAAAAATATTCCCAGAAATAGATTTTTGAAGAAAAACATATTACCAGCAATAAAAATTTTGTCGGCATTAAATAACCCATTGAGGTTGATATGCCGTAAAACAAAACAAACCAAACCAATATATACTGAGATAGATAGATAGATAGATAGATAGAAATATTACCAACAATAAAATTCTTGGTATTAAATAATTCATTGAGGTGTTCATATGCCGTAAAACAAAACAAACCAAACCAATATATAATGAGATATAGATAAAAATATTACCAGTAATAAAATTCTTGGTATTAAATAACTCATTGAGGTGTTGATATGCCGTAAAACAAAACAAACCAAACCAATATATACTGAGATAGATAGATAGATAGATAGATAGATAGATAGATAGATAGATAGATAGATAAAAATATTACCAGCAATAAAATTCTTGGTATTAAATAACTCATTGAGGTGTTGACATGCCGTAAAACAAAACAAACCAAACCAATATATACTGAGATAGATAGATAGATAAGAGACTGGCATAGATAGATAGATAGATAGATAGATAGATAGATAGATAGATAAAAAAATATTAGCAGCAATAAAAATCTTGTCGGCATTACATAACCCATTGAAGTTCATATGCCGTAAAACAAAATAAACCAAACAAAAAAAAAATAAACCAAACCAGACCAAACCAGACCAGGACATGTAATTAGTTGGTCTGTCGATGCAAGTCGAATGTTTCCACATAAGGGAGCGGTTAATATTACTATTTTCGTCATGTTTGTCGAGGGCAAAGAAAAAATGCGAATATCTAGATCCACATAGTCGTAACACCTAGTTATAACCTCTCCCTTGCACTTAATGGGGTAAATTCAGAGTGAGTCTTCATCTAATAGTTCTTGGGGGAACTAGCTAATTTTACCACATGCTAGTATGAATGAAGAGTACCATCATAAACACACTCTTGTTTCACATAAAATCCAGAGATGGATATGCAATGTAATAGACCCTGATCTGGCATCTCGTCTGCAGTCGCTCACTCACAGACGTGCTGTCGCCTCCCTCTGTCTTTTTTGAAAGTACTTTCATGGTAACTGCTCCGATGAGCTGCTTTCGCTGGTTCCCAGACTTCATGAATTTAAGCGTTCTACTAGGCTGGCATTTCGCTCACACCCTTTCCTTGTTAAATGTTTCTGTCTCTTTTACTCTAATAGCTTCATGTCTCGCACCTCTCGCCCGTTGAAATCCCCCCCTTTCCTGTTTCCCTGATAGCTATAATCTCCAACTATTCAAATGTAATGTCAATCGACGTCTCCAGATGCCTTGATCTATCCCCTATCCTTCTCTTCATCCTTTCCTTTATCACCCCACTTTGTTCGCGATCCAACTCTCTGTAACCCCATTGCGTGCTAGTGGCTTCCCGCCTTGCTTGGGGTGAAACGCTTATAAAAAAATTGCATCCTCTTATGAGAATGAGTAAATAACTTTGTTCCTTTATGCGTCTTTTAAACGGGAATCAAAACATGACATTCATTTTGTCGTTGGTCTCGCGAGATTCCTCATTGCATACGAGAATCACGTCATCACAATATTGAAGAACAAATGTCATATATTTTTCTTCTCGATATGCAAGTTGTATTTCGTTGCTTTTTCACTTCATTTTTCCATTTTTCCTATACACAAAGAATGTTAATCTCTCTCTCTCTCTCTCACTCTCTTATCTATAAAGCTATCTCACTCTATCACAGCCGATTCATATCTATCTATCTATCTATCTATCTATCTATCTATCTATCTATCTATCTATCCCAGTTCATATCTATCTATCTATCTATCTATCTATCTATCTCAGTTCATTGTTATCTATCTATGTATCTTAGTTCATTCATATCTATCTATCTATCTATCTATCTACACGCACAAACACACACACTTGTACTCGCCAGCTTATTTCGAACCTGTGTTACCATTTGTAGGAGAAATTTACAGAGATCACCAGAGCCGCTTTTTGTTAAATGGCCGTCCTCTTGGTCATATCTTCTCGAAAGTTTCGTATCCAAAGCGTTTACTTGGCTCCTTACGATTATCTGATATATATATATATATATATATATATATATATATATATATATCAACTTATCTACCTATCTATCTATGATTATACTTTATACAGCTATCTTGCCCTATCACGGCCGATTCAAATCTATCTATATATCTATCTATCTCAGTTCATTCATGTCTATCTATCTATTTTGTCAGTCTGTTCAGATCTATTTACACACACACACACACACACACACACACACACACACACACACACACACACATATATATATATATATGTTATTAGTGACACCCTAACTCACATATATGCATCGAAGCAAAATATATATATATATATATATATATATATATATATATATATATACATAAAAGTAAAATGATAATAAATGGCGTATAATTCCACTGTACAAACATTTAATTTAAAAGAGGTCTCAATAAAGAAAAGAGCTAATTATTATATATTTTAGGATATTAAAACAAAAAACATGTTAAAAATCGCAAAATGATTACAATCATGTTTCAACGTCATAAATATGTCTCCTCGGACGTTGTGATGTTGAAACATGATTGTAATATATATATATATATATATATATATATATATATATGGGCCGTGTCATTCTTAAACTGTGAATTACGCCTAGGGACGAGATGAATCGAGAGAATTAATAAATAAATAAAATGTAATCTCCAGCGTATTTCGATTCTGTGTTACCATTTGTAGGAGAAATCCACAGAGATCGCCATAGCCGCCTTTTGTTAAATGGCCGTCCTCTTGATCATAACTTCTCGAAAACACTTATCTGTTCATTAGTTTCGTAGCCAAACAAAAGTAATTTCCCAGGAATTGAACCATTTTTTTTTTATCTGATATCCTTTCTTATTATTCCAGACTTTATTTTGTGGACACTCATGTATTTTTCAGCCGTTTCTTAAACAGTGTTAATTACGTCTACCAGCTTGTGAAATTAAGATACTTACTAAAGAAAAGGGTGTATTTTCTTTATTATGGCTCTTGATTGCGCAGACAGATAGCTGTAACTTAAAATGTTTATAAAAGAGGGCGCCTGCCTAAACATGGGTATGGACAAAATAAATTTTGGATTCGTAGAAAATCTATCTATCTATCTATCTATCTATCTATCTATCTATCAGTCTTTTAAAATTATCTATATATTCAACTATCTACCTACCTGTCTATGCAACATGATCTGTCACAGTAGATTAATATCTATCTATCAGTCTTTTAAAATTATCTATATATTCAACTGTCTATCTACCTACCTGTCTATGCAGCATTATCTGTCACAGTAGATTAATATCTATCTATCTATCAGTCTTTTAAAATTATCTATATATTCAACTGTCTATCTAACTACCTGTCTATGCAACATGATCTGTCACAGTAGATTAATATCTATCTATCTATCTATCTATCTATCTATCTATCTATCTATCTATCTATCAGTCAGTTAAAATTATCTGTTTATTCAACCGTCTCTCAACCTACATCTCTATCTATCTATCATGATCTATCACAGTTTCCATTACTATCTATCTATCTAGCTAGCTAACACGCTTTAACGTGCTAGATTAATTAATTTCTTCCTTCATATCTATCTATCTATCTATCTATCTATCTATCTATCTATCTATCTATCTATCCCAGTCTCTTCATTATCTATCTATCTATCTATCTATCTATCTATCTATCTATCTATCTATCTATCTATCTATCCCAGTCTCTTCATTATCTATCTATCTATCTATCTATCTATCTATCTATCTATCTATCTATCTATCTATCTAGTTAGCTAGCTAGCTAGTACGCTATAACGCGGTCAATTAATTTCTTCCTTCCTTTCTATCTATCTATCTATCTATCTATCTATCTATCTATCTATCTATCTTGTTAGCTAGCTAGCTAGTACGCTATAACGCGGTCAATTAATTTCTTCCTTCCTTTCTATCTATCTATCTATCTATCTATCTATCTATCTATCTATCTGATCATTACTACTTTTCATTCTGTCTTTCTAATACTTAAACATGTTCACATGACAGTGGAGACGTTCCCTCCATCAACTTACTCATAAAAAAAAAAGTCCTCACATATCCTCATCCCCACCTTTTACTCTCCTCCCATATTAACCCATATCTGTTCTCTTTCTGTTCCTTATTTGTCTCAATAAATACGTTCAATTTATTCCTCATTTAAGCAAATGGGCTAAGAGCATTCTCGTTCCCTACTTTAATCGGCATAAACAAACCGTGTGAAGGCGTTTACAGCTAAAAGACACGCCACATACTGCAAAAAGCGACAAATCTACGAGTAATTCAGCCAATATATTTCCTCCTTTCCGATTGGCTGCTAAAGAACGAGCGATTTTCTGAGTTTTTGGAAGGCGTAGATAAAAAAAAAAGGCGAGAATTGAGTTAATTAATGACCATCATTTTGTCGTTGCGAAATGCGACGAAGTCATGCAATACATCGACTATGTTTTCTTTGACTTGGCGCTAAGGATAAATTGGCCGATAGGATATTGGAGAAGGAAAAGTAAAGAAGAGTTACAGTCGGAAAAAAAATAACTAAATAGAATTAATAGCCTGCACAGTATAATTACGCCGATGCGTGCATATATATATATATATATATATACACACACACACACACATATATATATATATATATATATATATATATATATATATATATATACACACACACACATATATATATATATATATATATATATATATATATATATATTATAAATTAATTGATTTAAAATATGGGTTTTTCCGCTACACAGTTCTAACCATGTTTCAAAAATAGAAGCTAAAAGTTCAGAATTTAATTTTGTAATTAAATTAAAGACATTAGTTCCATTTCATCCTCAAGCGAATTTTGGAGTAACTTTTAAATTTACTGGCTTTTAAATACAGAGCTAAAATCATAATTAACGTTTCCAAGGTTACAGATAAATCCACTTCCACTAGACAGGGGGTGTCTGCGTGTTCATTATCGCTGTATTTTGATGTATCAGTTATTAGTTACGTTTTGGTAGGGTTAGGGATATATTTTTCAATAAAATCTAACATCCGTTAAATGCATGTCGTCTGGATTTTTTTTTAATTTTATTGTTAACGGCAAAAATTCTTACGCCATTTTTTTCCGTATTTTTTATATTTAAAGATTTCTGGGGGGTGTTTAAGTTAGAATACGTTTTATTTAACTACGATTTGAAATATTTTCACTTTTAATTTTTAATATACTATATTTGTTTTAAGAACAATTAAATGTATTAGAATCCCTTACAGTATGTAGAATTATTTTCACTTCAGGTATAAGTATGTATGTTATTAGGTTACAAATTTTTTATTTTATTTTATTTTTTTTAATTTTAAAATTATTTAAGTAAAATTTATGAACATCACGGCAAAAATAGCTAATTACTTTCACTGATTTAGTAAACTTTTTATTTTATAAAATATCTATAAGAACACCGGATTATATATCTTACTGTTCTTCCTTCATATATTTTATATATATATATATATATATATATATATATATATATATATATATATATATATATATATAATATGAAAGGCTCAAACATTAATATTCCATGGTTATAATTTTTTACATTGGAATCGTAATTACGATTCAAATGTAATAAATTCGCGCCGATAAATCTAATTAATACTGTTTAATTAAAGAACCGTGCGTTTACTCAAATAAGTGTGTCCATAAAAAATAACGTATATACTGGATATATACAGGCTGTCCATAAAGTTCGTGCGCACTTAAAAAAAAATATAACTTTATTTGTATTTGCGAAAGGAATAATTTGTAAAAAGGATTAGAAAGAAGTAAATCTATATTTTTTAAGGTTTTATTGAAATTTTATTAAAGTTTCCACATGTCCTCCATCATTAGCAACACAAAGGGTAATACGATTTTGCAGTTCATGGAAAACATTTGTCAACTGATTTACAGTAATGCCCGAAATCACGTTAGTTATTTTAGCTATACATAAAACTAGGTACATTAAACTTTATAACATTTTTTTTACAGATTATTTCTATCGCAAATACAAATAAAGTTATACATTTTTTAAAGTGCACACGAACTCTATTGACACTATATATATATATATATATGGTTGGCAATATTTCATTTAATAAAATTCAAAATGATATTACTGCAACTAACAATTCTTATTTTCTATATGCTGTGTACCTGCATGACGCTGATGATCATGGCTCACCACAACGTCCTAGCGCTTGTAGTTTTTAGGGATTTTTCCTCTCTTCTTTGGGAGGTTATCTGCTGATTTCCTCTATCCCTGTGGCTATCAAATTCTCCAAGCCCTCTTTCATACTTATTATCCCTAGACATTTCAACTGTTTCTTTCTGAATTTTAAAGTGTTCTTTTTTTTCCATTTCCTCTAAAA